TTAAAGAATAAACAATTTTCGCGGATTGTTGACGTTACTCTAGGATATTTTTCCGTCCAAGCCGTGAATTTATTTTGTTCATACTAAGTCTCGAAAAAACACCATATAAAATTCAATATTTCTTATCCATAATGTTCAACGTTTTAAATTATTCAACTTTTTCACAAGAAAATCTAAAATTGATGTCAAAAATCGCTGCAAATCATTGTTGATTGATTTGAGATGGAATGATCTATTATGACATGTCTCTAATTTGTATTTTGATACATTGTATTTATTTTCAAGTTTTCTTGTTTAATTATTCACCTATATTTTATATCCATTATTGTACGTAATTATGTTACAATAAAATTTGTATTTTATATACTACCTCATGAAAAATTGAGATTTAGTAGAGTGGGAGGCCATATTATAAATTGGCGGTTACATGAGAACCTTGCACAGGCTCTGTACATCTATGTTTGTGAGTGAAGAAATATATTGAAGATTTTCTTATTTTTTATGAAGTTTGCTCGATGAAGTTTGCGTTTTGGTCCTGAAAGCCAATATTTCTTGTAAGTGTTGTTTATTCTGTCGCATGCCTTTGTGTTGAACTGAAAAAAAATAAAAATAAAAAGGAATGGGGCTTTTTGCAAATGGCGTCATATCAGCCGTGGACACGAAGCATGCTGGCGTAGCTAACATTTTTTTTTTTTTTCAAATTTTTTTAGAACGCTACGCGGAAACTTACTTACCTAACTGGAGCTTCGCAGGGGATTCTGGAGGGACCCAGAAAATCACTAAGGTCAGTAAGGATAAGAGGGCGCATGGTAATATTAGAATAAAACTATAAAATGCGACCTTTCTTCTAAGACGTAGTCTGAAAGTCAGGTCAGGATAAGGTTCTGGACAACACGCGTACTTGCGTACGTTCCTCACTGCGACATTTTCCATGATGTCCCACTCATTACTTAACATATAATCGTTCAGGTCCATTTTCGGAACAGTGCGGAACACCACGTCCACCTTGAATCCGTCGTATGTCCACGAACCAAATTTGAGCTTACACTCCTGATCGTCGAACGGAAAGAAGGTGATGTCGAAGAAACACGAACTTTTGAGAATTGCTTGTGGCATCCATAGAATACCGCCAGTGTAGTTAACGACGACCAAAGCCTCTCGCTGTTCTTTTAAACGAGTGTCAGCACTGAAAAGGGAAAGAAAAGCCAAAAGAACAGAGGTTAGTTAAAATTACTCACAATTGGTTCCTTTTTACTAACACGGAAATAAAACAGATAAAACAAAAATACACTATTTACATTATACGGACTATTGTCCTAATCATTGTCGTCATATTTATTACAACGTTTCGGTCGTTGTACGCTCCGGCCTGCTTCAGTACCTGTCTGTATTTCTTAGATGAAGTATTATGTACACTATTTACATTATTCGGACTATTGTCCTCATCTTTGTCACCATATTTATTATTACAACGTTTTGGCCGTTGTACGCTCCGGCCTTCTTCAGTATCTGTCTATATTTCTGAGATGAGGTATTATGTACACTATTTACATTATTCGGACTGTTGTCCACATCTTTGTCGCCATATTTATTATTACAACGTTTCGGCCGTTGTACGCTCCGGCCTTCTTCAGGTGGTTGGAATGTCGAACTGAACCCTTTATTTCGCTCACTGGGGTAGACTGTCCTCAAGGACACATGACACAGTGGATAAAGGCGTTGGTTAGATCCAGTGACAGAACCCAAAGAGTGTGAGTTCAATATCCAGTTAATGCAGTGGAGAACTTGCAGAGGGGAATTAACAGGCGATAACTGATATCTGACATCCATCAAACATGGCACGTGGAACTAGAACAGTCTACCCCAGTGAGCGAAATAAAGGGTTCAGTTCGACATTCCGATCACCTGAAGAAGGCCGGAGCGTACAACGGCCGAAACGTTGCAATAAATATGGCGACAAAGATGAGGACAATAGTCCGAATAATATAAATAATGTACATAATACCTCATCTCAGAAATATAAAGAGATACTGAACGGCCGAAAAGTTGTAATAAATATGGCGACAAAGATGAGAACAATAGTCCGAATAATGTAAATAGTGTATATAATACCTCATCTCAGAAATATAGACAAAACAAAAATAGTTCAATATTTTCTGTTTTCGCAAAAATAATTCCACAATAAAGCATGAAATACAACAACAAAAAAATAACAGGTACATATAAAAAAAAAAAATTCTACAACATCATTTTTTAATCATACCCCCCTGTATAGCGACAAAAGGCTCTCATCTCCTTTGGTGTAGATATATCACGTGTGTCGCATCATGGCCGAGGCAGATGCTAAATCTGATTTCCCAGTAGCTTACAAGTCCATGGTACCGTTTCCTTTTGGGGAATATATCTTTCCCAGATAGAGAAAGAAACTCCAGCTACCAGTTCACAGTTTGGGGAAAACCCCCAAGACTCGCTCTTTCCCGTTCGAGGAATATGCCCTCGCCTGGGACATAGATGAATCCGGTCCTAAACATGGCTTCTCCAGACACAGGAGTATCCTCATATTATATGTAAGACCCTTCCTTTTTATTTCTCCCTCCACTTTCATCTGCTGTGTAGATATATGTGATATATTAGGTAACCCCACGAGATCGCTAAAAAATCAGCATACCGTGATGTAAAACTGCTCCAAACATAATGAAAACATAGTTTTATCGTCACAATGCTATTATTAAGAGAAATGGTCAAACTATTTTTTTATTATTTAAGTAACCTTTTTGCTCCATTTTAGAACATTCAATATCTTTATTAAAAAAACTTATTTGTCTTGCATCAGTGATTGTACTAACTTTTAGCATAGCAAATTTTCGACTCTTTTTGCGACGACAGACACATTAATTTTTAAATTCTTGCAGCATTGGCTATCAAACAAGACAGATATCACATAACAGTTCAGTACTCTTTTCTTTGTTTCGAATGACATTTTCCTGTCTCTTAATACCTTGCTTAGCTTTTGGAATGCATCTTTGGCCATCCCAATACATCTTTGGATCTCTGTGCAGTACTTTCTGCCCTCTGTTAGAACACGTCCCAAAAATTAAAATTTCTGTACTTGTTTGATTTTGGTATCCCCGATTTGTAATTTGCATTTCTGGATCACCCCTTTTGCTGATGACTATGTGTTCTGTTTTTTTTGCTCCTTTTCCAAATTCCCTACTTCTCTCGTCTTTGCTTAATTTTCTTTTCTCATTCATTTATCCTTCTGTTCTTTCTCTACTGCGTTTTTCTGAATACGCTCTCCTGTACCGAGACAATCCACCCGAGTACACGGACTATGTCTGAAAGAGTAATGGGAGATCACATCCTTTTACTGGCGGAGCGGCCATCATTTCCAATTTGAGTGTGTTCTCGTAATTAAACGCGTGATTAGACACGAGAATCTCGCCAAGCAAGATAATCAGACGTGTGCCTGTAATTGAAAATTGCACATATCTGTGGGAATCTGGAGTGGGTCGGAAGCAAAGACGAAATCATAGACTAAAGATCCTATTCCGTTCGCCTTCCGGACACACTATAACTTCATATCCTTGCGCGCCTACAATAATGTTCAAAACGGCCATATTGTTAATTTTGCTTTAACTAATAAGAGAGAGAGAGAGAAAGGAGAGAGAGAGAGAGAGAGAGAGAGAGAGAGAGAGAGAGAGAGAGAGAGAGAGTGAGATCTTTAAAGAACCCCTGAGGTAAAAAGGATTTCCAGTTCAGTAGTTATAATACTGGGCCGCAGAATATGTGTAATGATAAAAATTCGAATTGAAATCAACGAAAGTCCTTATGTTTTGCTAAAAGACGAACATATATAGAAAGTGCTTTAATCGCTAGATTATTCACAATCCATTTACTTACAACACGTCACCTTTCTTGTCAGTGAAAAAAAAAAAAAGACAAAAACATAAAGAAACTAAGTTAAATTGGCGAAATACATTTACTTATAAAAAATAAATCCAAAAATCTAAAATTTCAGCGTTTCAGTATTTTCTATCTATGCACAATTATAATTAAGATTTTGTGTTTTTATCTTCCCCCTCTCCTTCATACGCATATATAATTACATTCAAAAAATACTTTAGTCCAATCATATCCTAAACTGCTTTATTAATTCGTTTTTTAAAAGATTATCAACGCTTTGAGGTTTATTTGAAACCAGAATTTATTTTTATATTGTAAGCATATTTTGAAGATAATGATGGTTTTACTGATACAAGTACTATTAATTAAGCCACTGCTTGTTAGGAGAAAGAATCGATTCATACCATATCCAGAAAATAACTTTTGTTTGTAAGAAACTTTTTGAGATAATAATGATTTGCTGATACAACTCTTACAATTTAACCCATAGCTGAGGAGAAGAAGTTGATTCATACCATTCTAAACTCTTCAAAAACTATGGAGAATGAAACGAGAAACCACTCCACTATCTTCCCCAAGAATTCATGACAATTTTCAGATAATAAATTGATTAGGTGTTTTTTACGGCTTATCAACCCTTTGCAGCTTATTTAAAAGCTTAACATATTTTTTTTTTCAGATTATATTAATTTTTTGAGATAATAATGATTTAAAGACACAAGTCCGACTAATTAACCCATAGCTGAGGGGAGAAGAGGTGTATTAATGTTTTTGCCAATGGTGTTTTCGCGTAGGTGAATATAACGAGCCTGACTGGAATTGTTACTCGGTTCCCAGATTTCAAATTCTGAGCCGTTATCCATTACCCCACGCGCATATCTAAGCTTAGAGTACCTGGTATTCCCAAGCGGAGTACCCTCTAGATGATGGGCAGTATCGGCACCTTGAAAAGTGCCACAGAAATAATTATTTGTAAGATTTTTTTTTTTTCACTAATAAAATTTTATTTTCGGCGAAAACTGAATAAGAAGCAAGCAGTAGGGTGTCTAATAATTGTCGCACTTTTAGACGGAATGAATGCAGACCCCTTAACTATAATGGCTGAAAAATATGACGAATTACAGAACAGGCGAGAAGCGAAAAATCCCTTTTCTCAGATGAGCACCACGGGAGAGAGCAATCACCGTTTACTCCTTTTTGTTCCTGATCCCAGTTTTTATTTAACCCTTTTTCTGACCCCCTTCATTGCGGTCTTCATACGGCAGGGTCCCTAAACGCCAATTCTATACAAAAGCCCTACATACAAAAGATGGGGAGGAAGTCTTTCTTGGGTGATGAAGTTACAAATATAATTAGGTCAGTGTTGAGTGATATTAGTGTTGGAATATAAATAGGAGTGTGTGTGGGGGTTGGGATGAGAACATATTAGACGGAAGATGTGGGGAAAGAAAGAAGGAAAATAAACATTAATATTAAATTCTATCTATCTATTTGTCTATCTATGTATCATAACGTGTTTTCTATCTATCTATCTATCTATCTATCTATCTATCTATCTATCTATCATAAAGTGTTAACTTTCTGTCATAAACTGTTTTCTTTCTTTCTATCATAAATTGTTTCCTTTCTTTCTAAATATCTGTCATAACGTGTTTTCTTTCTTTCTATCTATCTTATTCTGTTTATCTATCTATCAAAACGCCGTTTCTATCAACCTAAAAGTGTTTTCTTTCTATCATAAAGTGTTTTCTATCTATCTTCTATCTATCTATCTATCTATTATAACGTCCTATCTATCTATCATATTGTCTTTTCTATCTATCTATCTATCATATTGTCTTTTCTATCTATCTATCTATCTATCTATCTATCTATCTATCTATCTATCTATCTGCGATTTGTCCTGCTATATTCGACATTTACATGCTTTGCAGTTCCATTACGTTGTAATACCGCTTCCCGTAGGATATGGTGGACACCCGAGCGCGTACGCCCGGGAGAGGAACAAAATTCCCCTCAGCCCGCGCATCCGTCGGTTGCGTTGGCCTTTACCAAACCGATCCCTTATATCTGGTTCAATGGGAGGGCGCAGCCTCGGACAGCTGTTCCCCATAAATTAACCTTTCCTGTATTATTTTCTTCAGTTGCCCGTCTCTCCTTTGACAGAATTTTAAAACCGTAAAAAGCCCAAAGACAGAGACGCAACTGAGAGATGATAAGTTAACATTAAAATTACTCAAAAAGACTAAGTCACTTAATTAACAGACGGTATTTACTCTGTCCCCACCCACTTGGATGAGATGCCCAAAAAAATATATTTAGGAGGGGACCTGAATTGATTTTTATAGGAACAAAAATTCCCCTCAGCCCCCGAACACAACATATCTGTGTTATATATTATCTGCCTCTAGGCAATATCTCTCTTCAGGTTTGCATATTAACTTTAAAAAAGTATATTTCTTTAATTAACTGTCCTTCATTACTGTTCTTTTATTCGAGAATTTTTTTTTATTTTTATTTAAAAAATAGTTCTGTTTAGTAATATTCACTTATATAGTGCAGAAAAGAATTAGAAATTTGCATTTTACTTGGCCTTCAACAAGTTGGCATCTTTCTGTAAAACTTTCTTTAACTATAACAAGCCAATTTATGAATGAAGTGTTCATTTAAAACTTTTCTTTTAAAAATTTCAAGTAGTGAATATATCTTATGTTGCGAAGCGAGAACGAGCGAGCGAAGCTTGCTAGATTTGAATTAATTAACCATTTTGAATAAATTAAGTAAATATTAATTACGGCTATCTTTCGTCTTTAAGAATTCTGTTCGTTTATTTTCCATTTCTAAATCCTCCCTAATTAAAGCCTTCTCATTCTTTTTCACTCGCTATAATCTCCAGCGTTCTTAGTGACTTTAACACCTTACTTGGAATAAAAGAAGTAAACATATATGTCTGATTTTTTTGGCTGTGGACATACTTGAAATGATTTTAAGAGAGACGTGAATGAAAATGGAATGAAGGAAAATGGGAATAAAATATAGAGAATGAAATAAAAGAAGATAACGAAAAAGAAGACTGAATGAAAAAGACAGGAAAAAAAAAAAGAAAAGCTGGGAAAGATTGAATGGAAAACTAAAAGAAGGAGCGAGGTAAATGGAATAATATCCGAACGAAAGTAAAATGAAAAAGAAAAGAAAAAAAAAAGCGAAGGAAACTAAAATTTGTATAGAAGGGAGAATCGAGGTCTCTTTCTTTCTGGCTTCACTACTTGTTAGGTCCGCTCGCCTTGACCAACGGTCTGATAATGAGCTAAAGAAAAATCACCCACGGCCCAACACAATAACGACTGATTGCTACATACTAAATTACCATTGTCCGAAGAGCCAGTGCAATGTCGGTCGTTTCCGGTTTCTTGATCATTGTCAAAATTGAATCTCTCTGAATTGAGACGTGCCTATTAGCATTGGTCCCAGCCGACTGATAATTGGAGCCCCGCTGGTTGTAGAGCGATTATCTTTGCGCTGCCCTTCGGATGTAGTGACCTGCGGTTGCTGTCTAATATGGTACTATCTTCTCTGGTAGACATTCAATTCGGAGTTGTGTCATAGTTTTCGGTCCGGAAGGGAAATTTGAGAAAGTCAGTCATTCTTCCTTTGTATCGGAATTTGTCTGTGCATATCTGTGCAAACTTGTATAGATGTGGGTTTATAATTTAGGCAGATTTAGGAATCTATGTAACTAACTATCCACTTCTGTTTCATCTAGCCAAAAGGAACTAATTTCAAATTATCTATCTATCTACATTTTCTTCTATCTATCATCTATCTATCTATCTATCTATCTCTCTATCTATATATATATATATTCTCATATATATATATATATATATAATATATATATATATATATGTATATATATATATATATATATATATATATATATATATATATATATATATATAATATAGTAATTCAGCAAATTTTTAGTTTCATTAAATACCAATGACAATGTACACCGGTTAAGATTTTTATTTAATTTTTATTCTGTTCTTATAATTTTTTCATTTCTAAATATGAATATATATATATATATATATATATATATATATATATAAATATATATGTATATATATATATATATATATATATATATATATATATATAAATATAATATTTATCCTGCATGGATATAGAAATCGACAGTATGAAGAAAAATATACCAAAAAGGATTTTTGTTTGTTTTTTACTATATTTTCTTTATGTATATATATATATATATATATATATATATATATATATATATATATATTTATTAAAGACATTTTTTATGTTTAACGTTGTTATTTATAGATACAAGTATTTAAGCAAATGCTCTGTTTATGATAAACAGTATTAAATAACATTTACATGGCCTTTTATCATAACATTTATCATAAACAGAGCATTTTTGCTTAAATACTTATATCTATAAATAACAACGTTAAATAAAAATGTCTTTAATAAATAAATTATTTTACCTTGTCCATTTCTTTATATATATATATATATATATATATATATATATATATATATATATATATATAAATTCATGAATCATTCACACAAAAAAAACAAATATAGAGGTTAATGATTTAAATGGCGAGAATACATCTTCGCAAACAATATAAGTAAGATACACCAACCCCAAACCTGTATATGAATGATATGATCCCTGTTTATAAATTCCAGTTGCATAAGGTCTTTTAATTTTTACAAGCTTTCGTCTGTTCCTACAGACATCCTCAGGTATGGAAATCGATTTTGTTCTTGTTTTTACTTCTTGCTAATAAGAGGACAACGAAAATATATATATATATATATATATATATACGTACTCATATCCAGAAAAAAATGTATATTTATATATCAGCTTAATCGATCTTTCTATCAATCTAAGGTTTGCTAATATCTATCTATATCTATATATCTATATATCTATCTATCTATTATTTTAAACTAAATATTTAATTATCATGATCTATATTCTCATCTCTTTCTCTCTGACTCTCTTGTATATATATATATATATATATATATATATATATATATATAAATTTCCCTCAATCTATCTATGTTTTAGAAAGAGATTAACAGAGAATTTTTTTAAAGAGGAGAGAATTAATATAATTAAAAGCTTTTATATATATATATCCGATTGAAGATAACTTCAGCGTCCCGACTGCAGAGTTTCGTAGCTAGATCCGTGTGCCCACTCGTCAGGGGCTATCAGCCAGCAATTATATGCTTCTAGATGTATTAAAATTACTAGCTGAGCTTATAAGATTAATTTTTCTTTTCCGTAGATAGATATGTCGGAATCAAAGACGAAAATAATATATATATATATATATATATATATATATATATATATTTCAAGAGAGAGAGAGAGATAGATAGATAAAGTTAATTGGTAATCCGTATGATAATTCCATGAGGATATAAATCCTCTGAGAGCTCAAGGTAATAAACAGAGCAAACAATAATCCAATCCTCCTTCAAATTTATGGACTTTCAAAATTTGAAATATTTCATCCTGAAAATAATAATTTCTGATTTGCTTTTTGAAATTCACAGGTTTCTCAACAATCGAATTATCGATTTTCAAATGAAATAAAATATTAAAATAGCTTTAAAAAAGTTCCGATTTGAATTTTAAATATATATATATATATATATATATATATATATATATATATATATATATATATATCAAAACATATCTATCAAACTCATATACATATTTGTTAATCAAATAAATCTTTTCAATATATTCTTATATATATATATATATATATATATATATATATATATATATATATATATATATATTATTTAGTAAATTATGAATTTTGAACATTTTTCACAATTTTTGGATCGTCAGACAAATAATAAGTACATCTTATATAATATATAATAACATAATTATACATATATATTTTATTTATATTTATATAATTCGACAATACATATATATATATATATATATATATATATTATATATATATATATATATATATATATATATCAGACAAACATATCTATCAAATTCAAATATGTTATAACATTCTTATTTGACCATCAGATAAGTTTTTCAATAGATCCTTAATATATATTTGTTTTTCATTTTTCTATAAGATAGTTTACATTTTATATATATATATATAAATATATATATATATTTATATATATATATGTTTATTCGTGAGAGAGAGAGAGAGAGAGATAGATTTCCTCAGATAAATAGATATAGAGATAGATATATGTGTGTTTCTGTGTGTATGTGCGTGTGTGTTTGTGTGTGTGTGTGTATGTGTGTTTGCATATCTACTGTAACACTAGTCTCCTTATAAATTTAAAATTTGTATTTAATTGATGAAATTTACGAAGACATGTTGTAGACATAAATTACTGCAAGGCCCATTTCGAAACCTCGGCTACCCTTTCTCAAAATTTGTAAATTCAAAAACATAAATGGTGGCATAAAATCCGTTGAGATATATACAGTCCTTATCAATGTCTGCAATATTGTTTATTGCAAATAATCCTTGCCAAAAGACAGGCGGCCCAATTCATTTTTATGTGAGCTTAACTCTTGTAAATTTCGTTCGAATTTAGATGAGCTAAATTTAGATCGAGAATAATGAGTAATAACAATAACAGAACTGCCGATTTATTTATATTTACATTTGGTACCATTCATATCTATCTACCTATCTAATGCCTGTTCATATCAATCTATCTATATATCAAAAAATATGTTGTCTGTTCATTTCTCTCTCTCATCTCTCTTTCTATATATATATAAATATATATATATATATATATATATATATATATATTCCTATATAAATAGACACATGATATATATATTATATATATATATATATATATATCAAGCTACTTCAAATAATAAACTGTTAATGTGTCGTTTTTTGAAAAATTGGTTAAAATTAATAAAAAAATTAACATTAATGGTCATTATTTTTGCAAACTGAGTTTATATATATATATATGTATATCAGTCAGATCAGAATTTATCTAAAATAATTCATATTGTCTGTGATGTTTGCCATTCATTTATTTATCTATCTATCTATCTATCTATCAATAATATCTGTCTAATGTCTGTTCATATCAATCTATTTTATATATAAATAAATATATTTTGTTTATTTATTTGATGAAACTATAAACAAACACACACACACACACACATTTTTCATATATATATATATATATATATATATATATATATATATATATATATATATATATAAAAATAATTTCATTTATCTATCATCCTAAATCCGTTCATGTTTGTCTGTCTGCCTATAGATTGTATCTCTTAATTTCTACGTGTAAAATCTGTTAATATTACTCTATCTATATATCTAAATATATCTTGTCTGTTCATCTCTCTCTCTCTCTCTCTATTCTCTCTCTCTCTCATATATATATATATATATATATATATATATCAGCCAAATTTAACTATATATCAATATATCTACATATCCGTTCATATCTATATGATGTTTGTTCCCTCTTTTTTTTACGCACACAAATAATTATATATATATATATATATATATATATATATATATATATATATATATATGTAAAATTCAGAATCTATCTATCATTATATCTAGTATATATGAATTTAAAATTCACGATTTCCAAAGTGAAATGATTCACCATTTAAAGAAAAAAAAAATTTACACATTTTATGTGGTCTCCTTTCTTTCTTTTTTTTTTTCCCTTTCTTTCAAATTTTTTGAGAAAATTTTTTATTTCGGATTTCTTTTGAATCTTTCTTTCTTTCAAATCTCCTTCCTTCCTTCCTTCCTTCCTTCCTTCCTTTAAAATACTAATTACCTTTTTTTATTAACCACGCATAATATCGACCTTCATTTTGATTTCATTAGTGCTTTCTTTTCATTTCTTCTTTTTCATTTCTTTGGTTTAAATTTTTTAATACATTTATTTTTGAAAAATTTCCTTAGACCCACCAGCCTGGGCCCGTTATGTGCAAATATGTACCCAATGACTTTGCGTGTATTTGGTGCCGTTTCCTTAAGTCGATTTCACCCAAGCCGTTCGAAAACGACAAATAGAATCAGCGGGGGAACACGAAAACAGAAAAAAACAGAAAACAACAAAAAACGCCGTAGTCGAAAGTGAAAGAACATTCTATTGACTGAAAAGCTAATGTTCCCTTTCTATTGTGACGGCGCCAATCTCAGCCTCCAAGCGCACAAATTTGCAAATTGTCCGAAAATAGCTCTTTTGTGAAATTGCCTCTGCCCCACCCACGACAGGACCAACTCTGCCAATTTGCAGCTCCCACCACTGCAACCCCCAAACCTTATACGTTAAACGGAGATTATTTTTTTTTTTATCAGTACAGACTTTATTAGCTCGATATCAAACATGAGAAAATTCAAATGAAGTGTTAAAAATACCATATACTGGTTTTCCTTTTGTTTTGACGTCGGTGTTCCTGGATTTTTCCATTAGTAACTTATTCAGTAACCATATATATATATATATATATATATATATATATATATATATATATATATATGTATTATAATTATTTTGAAAAATATATGATTCCTTCGAGGATCATAAGAGTTCTCATATGTTTCAAAAACAAGAAATAAATTAAATTATTAAAATGAAATATTTAAAGTATTGTATAAAATATTTCATCCTCTTATGCGAAAATTTCCTAAATTTGTTGGAGATGAAATGGAAGAAAATTTAAAATATAATTTATATTTTTACATTTATGTAACCCGGATATAAGAGATTGTCGGGACCGGAGACAGTCTCGTATATCCAATTTTCTTATATCCGGGTTTGGTCTATTTTGTTTATATTAACACAGGCTCTAATTTGGGACCAGAGAGAAATCTCTCTTATATCCGGGTTTCTCTTATATGCATTTTTGGTCTATTTTATATACATTAACACAGGCTCTAATTTTCTTTAAAATACAATCTCTTATATCCGGGTTTCTCTTATATCAGGATCTCTTTATATCCGGGTTTACACTGTAAAATCATTATATTGAGGTTTTTTAAATTTGTTTTTATAAACATGAGAACTCTTATATATATATAAATCATATTTAAAAATAAATATATAATTATAATTAAAGGTCTATTTTTATATATATACGGTATTTTAAAAATAAAAACAAAAATATAAAGAACTCCGGATTATTTGCCTCACGTGTTCTTTGCCTTTATTTAAATATATATTTATTTTTTTCAAACAAAATATATTATATAGACATATATATAACACACACACATATACACACACATACACATATATATATATATATATATATATATATATATATATATAATCGCAGAGCCGAGTTCGAATTCCAGTCGAATCCACTTACATTCACTTACGTGCTAATACCCTTGGGAAAGGTATGTATCCTTTCATCTCCCTCCAGCTATGGGTAAAATAGCAGGACAGACTGGGTTCTATAGCCTTGGATGGCAACTGGTCTAGGAGAAGGACAACTCTGAATTCAAAACCTGCGGAGGGTCGTTTTGGAACCTTGTGGCATGCATTCGGTGCACCAGGTTTCTGTATTCGTCCCTCCAAAAAGTGTGGCTGGTCCTGCACGAGGCCTGCACCACTATAATCAAATCTCATGTGCCGGTGTCGGGATGTTGGTTTCCTGGGGACTTATCGGCCTGACCCTCATACGTCGAACGCGACGGGAGAGTCGATTATATATATATATATATATATATATATATATATATATATATATATATACAGATAGATAGATAGATAGATAGATAGACAGAACAGATTGAAAAGACAGTGTAAATTAATGTTGCTCAGAGTTAAAACGAAAAAGAAGTTGTCGTGAGCCATGATCGCCTACGTCTAAAAGAGGCTCTGTATATTAAAGAAGAAGAAT